TCCCCCTGTCCATCCCCATCTCGTTTCTTTTCTTTCTCTCTCTCTAACCCTGGATCCACTTCTCTCTCCTCCACATTCCCCTCTCCATTAACCTTCACTACAGGTCAACAATCTCATTATTTCCTGGTTTATCTTTCCTATGTTTATGTTTGCATAAATAAGTAAACACTTGTGTAGTTTATTACTTTCCCCTTCTTTTTTACACTAAAGGTAACATATTCTCAATCTTTTTATGTACTTTGTTCGTTTTCATAGCTATTTCCATTGTGTGGACATATCATAATTTATTCAAACACAGACTTGTATATGGACATGTAGGTTGCTTATGGCAAATTACAAACAATTCTGCAATAAATACTAGTTTTGCTAGACATTGCAAATTCCTCTCAACATCCTTGCCAGTTTACAGTCCCACAGCAATAGAGGAGAGTGCTTTATTTATTGATGCCATATTACTATTCAGCAAGAAGGGACATATTCATGATGCTGGGTTTTCTTATCCAAGAAAAAGGAACACACAAATCACTTGTATGTCTCTCAGGAAAGTATTCTTCTACCATTTGGTACATTTTCTGTTAAATTTAGTCCTTGATACTTTATCTTCTTTCTTGGTACCAAAAGTGGAGTTATCATTGTACCCTCTATTAGGTTGTTGCTCATGGGTGAAGGCATGTTTTTATTGAATATGTTGGATAGCAGTGGAGTCTGTGGCCTCATGATCTGAGGGGGAATGTCCCTAAGCCTGCCATTAGGTGACCTTCTGGCTTCATGACCAAGGTGACACAGACATTGATAGCAGTGAGGTAAATATATATATAGATGTAGTATATACCTCGTGTGTATTTATGGACTCACTTTAAGGAAGTACCTATCAGTTCCTATCTTCCTGAGTGTCTCTTAGAAATGTGTGTTGACACTTGTCAAATTTCTTTTTCAGCATTTATGGAAATAAGCAAATTATTTTTCTCCTTAGATATCTTAATTTAGTGGATAACGTTAATGAAATCCTAATATTTAAATTGAAACAAATTCCACTTGGTCAAGTTATATCATTTTTTGTGTGGCATTATTTACTAATATCTTATTTATTAATATTTTCACTAGAAGGTTTTCATCAACTTTTGTAGGTGAGTTAGTCTTTATCAGATTTAGGAATCAAATTTTCAGATGGAAGGGCCTTTTAAAAATGTTACTATTTCAGTTTTATTCTGATCTGATCAGAGTGTGTTTATAATATTTCTACTATAAGGAACTCACTGTCGTTTTCTCTGTGGTATACTCAATGATTGGGTTTGTGAATGTCCCATGTGAGCTTGAGAAGAAGCTGCATTTCTTTTTATTGGGTGTAGCTTTTGGTATATTACCCATAAGATTTACCCCCACTGATTATGTTATTCAGGTCTTGTACATCCCCACTCATTTCTGTCTCCTTTTGGTGTTAAATTATCGTATTATTGGTGAGTTTCTATGCCTGACTCCTTGCATTTTGTGTAGATTTTTCTCCAAAAGGTGGTTGGTCTGATATCTTGGAGTAGAAGCATTTAGAAGGGCTCTGCCTGCCTTGCACTTTCGGGCTTCAGGCTCTGTGATGCCCCCTTTGTCTTTCCCAGGCTTGAGCCTGAGCTGTACGATGAAACCAGATCGTCCCTGACTTGCTTGTCATCCAAATGGCAGGTGGGCCACTCTCCTTTTCAGCCTTTCTGAGTCATTTTGTGCAGGTGTGTCTCTGGTTTACCTGTACCGTTGTGTCTTAGTTTGGCGGCCAAATCTGAAATCTTCTGTGTTGTAAAAGTTCAATTAAACCCACTCATATTCATTGATAAAACTCATATGTTTGGGTTCAAATCTATCATATTATTTTATGTTATAGTTATTAATGTAAATTGTTATATTTGCTGTGTTTCTTTTTTACAAGATGCATATTTCTTTGATCTTCTACAAAATTATTTCTTCAGTAGTTAGGGAGGTTTGCTTTTTTGTTCTTGTAATTACGTGCGTAGTCAGTTCTTTTAAAAAGATTGTTATCCTGTAGTTTCCTTATTTAACCCATTACTCTCTGGTTTGTATGGGGTTTTTTAAATTCCCTTTGGTGCTTACCTATTGCCCACATGATCACCAGGAAACCTACTCAACTTCCCCTCTCTTCCCTGTGACCTCCCTCTGTAGCATTTCCATCTTGCCAGAAATCAGTGCTAACACGGTACAGCACGGATCACACAAACTGCCATTCACCCGCCACTTCTTTCCCAGATCTCCAGTTACTTCCAGCTTTGCAGATGGCAGGTTGTCCGTAGGTCGATCACTCATCTTCTGTCTTTCTTCAGAGGATGTGCTGGGGGTTTCACGTTCACACGACTGCGGCTGCCTCTGGTACAGATGACACTTTACCGCCCTGACGGGGGCGGGGCCCACGCCACGGGTGACTTCAGGGGCACTGGCGTCCCCGTCATGCCCAGTGAACCAGCCCCCTAACTCTTCTCACAAATGTGTCTATCATATTCAGCATCCAGGCTTGCAGGACTTTCACTAGTTTATTTCCTACAGATTTTATATCTTTGATGCTCATGTGAGTAGTATCATCTTATATTCCATTTTCCTTCCGTGTTGCAGTGTGCAATGCAATCAGATTCTGCGCCCTTGGCCTTGGGTCCTGTGGCCCTGCTAGACTCTTGTTTTGAACTTTAATGGACAGTCTGTAGATTCTTTTGGATTTTCTGCACACATAGCCATTTCAACTATAATTAACTACAATTTTGTTTCTTTGTCTCCACTGGTAATATTTCAGTTATCAAACTTAGATGCATACACTGGTGTTTATTCTATGATTGTTTCAGCCACTCTAAATGTCTGAGATAGCACCAATACAATAAAACATTTAATTAACCAGGAAAGTTATTAGTGATAATATATTTTTATATAAGTAAAATTTCTTATAAAAAGGTCAAAATCACTCCACTTATTTGGAACAGTCTCCAAATTTGGTCATAAAAGCTGTTCTGAATGATCTCGTGGTCGATTGGAGTCATTACCAAATGTTGGAGTTGGCCAGCTTCCCCCCCTTCCTTCCCAACCTCTGAAACTAGCCTGAGTCACACTTGGCACCCCCCAAAGTCCTCACAAAACAAAACAGTATGCTTCCTTGGAAAGTCATAAGTATTATTTCCGTAGTTTTAGGAGTTGCTCGTTATGGACTCTCAAGGCAGATGAGAACACATGACAAATGCGCTATTTGTAAGTCTACTTGCAGTGGGCCCTTCGAGGAAAACAGAGAACACAGAAAAATCATGAGCACTTATTAACTAGGCAGTTTTGAATAAATCCACCTGGCAAATCAATAATTACCTGAGTAAAATGGGAACTTGGAAACCCTACGTAGTCATACAACATTGTAAAGACAATTCTTTCCATCAGCTCAGCAAAAACATGGTTTTCAAACCAACACAGAGGAGAGATGTGTTTCATTATCTTCCCCAGCACACGTGTGATGCACTAAGATGAGTCTTCAATGTTCCTAGTCCTCTAAAAATATCACTGTTACAACCTCAATGAAAAGGACTGGTTTCTGCAATGTAGTTCTTTAAAAATGCACAGATCCATAGTGAGTAACTACAGCTGCATCCCCCTGGCGTGCACATGCTTGTGTGTCTGCAAGATTGACAGCAGAAGATGCGCTTGGTTTGGCCGATTTACCACGTGGCCAAAAGCCACACCACCCTCCTGTCTACCCTGTTTATCACAACGTCAAGCATCAATGGATTTGGAAAATCCATGTTCTATCTTCTTTGTTAGCATGAAGAAATAGAAGCTTAACTAGGTGAAGCAGAGGATTGTCAAGGCTAAATTTGGCAAATGATCCAACTCCTTCAATAGAATATGTCTTACTGTTCAGATTTTAATATTTATGTTTTCATATCTCAGTATATGCACTAAATACAGCTACAAGACTGCTTTTAACTCAGGAAGAAAAATTCAAATAACAATCTCTATTTTAGCTTGGTCTAAAAATAATGCTTCATGTTTGACCTTTGATATCTTTTTTTATGTTAAATAAGGGAACTTCTAACTGCCCAGAAAAAGGACTCAGTGACAGGGGTGACTTGGCTCTTCCTTCCCAGTCTGTGGGGGCAGGATGGGCAGATGTGCCGAGGACGGTCGATACTGCTTGCCGGGCCCCTGCAGATTCAGAGTCTCCACTGTCTATAAGTCAGAAATCCACACAAAATTGAAGCCCCTCATAAAAACAGGAGGATATTGCAGAGAATTAGAACAACCCTCTGGTGCTGGAGAAATAGGGACTGGCCAGCCCACTGCTTACTTCACACGGTCCCCGGAGATGTTGCTGTGTCTCCACTAGACACTGACTTTCGCAGAGCGTAATGACAGCAGTGTCCCCTGGATGAAGGGCAGGGACTACACCTGCCCCCTGTTCCTGGGCAGGGCATGAGCAGAGGGCACATTTCCCAAGCACCTGCCCACATTGCACCAAATTTTATACCCAAGTTGGTTTCAAATAAGTTTTTAAAATTATAAAATCAATAAGGAGGGACAAGATGAAAACAAGGTACTTTTTAAAAAGTAATAATAATGAAAATAAAGTTCTGAGCAAAAAATTATTTATATTTATATGTTATATAGAATATTGTGTATTGCTAATACGTAACACGACCAAAGCAGTGACTTACCCACAGGACACCTAAGACTGCATGAATGTATAAAACTTCATGCGAGTCCTGTGCTGGTCCTATATTTAGAAGAACAGTCTGCTTAGTGAGGCTGGAATGTGACCTCAGGTGTGCCCAGAAGACCCTTTTGAATCTGCCACCTGCCTTCTCTGAGGTCAGTGGTGTGGATGCTGTGTTTGGAAAGGACCCGTAAAAGTGTTGTGTGTGGAGTGTTTGGCGGGTGAGCTCATTCTGCTGGCCCCACATGGCATTAGTGGGTGTTTTCTCCCCCAGGACCAACGACACAGGTGTGCTGTCCTATAAGGAGCACCTGCCCGTGACACGCATCGTGGTCACAGACACAGCCCGCCCGAGCTCTGCTGTAGCCTACAAACTGGGGCCTCTGCTGTGCCAAGGGGACCGTAAGTAATGCCCTAAGGGCCTCTTTCCTGGGAGCGGCTGGTCAGCATGATGGCAAGGGGGCTGCAGCATGTTGAACAGCACTGCACTCCAGCAGGTGCTGATGAAGGAGGAATTATGTCCCCTTGTAAACTGGGAAAGGGGTCAATGTTGTGTTGCTCTTACTCAGTACTTGATATAAACCATCACTATGGGATGTGGTGACTAGCCTGAGGCCAGGAAGCTTCAGAGCCTGTCCACTCAGAGCGGCCAAGTGCCCCCAGGGAGGGCTCCAGAAATCTCACAGTTCAGGATTATCATGAGACAATTGGGAATTTCTTCTAGTCATTCCATTTCGCAGTTAGGGTTTTAGTCTGGGTGCAGGCAAGGAAGATGGTCACCGTTGTTTGAGCCCACGGGGGACAGCTGCTGGACGTCAGGCGGAAGTCAAGTTGGGGGCTCGGGGCTTCGGAACAGACTTTTGAGAGCTGTTGTGTGTGTTGTTGGTGGTGTTTTTTGTTCATTATTCTTGATTTCATCAGGTTTGGGGAGAAATACGTTCTGTACCCCAACTCCATCCCACCATCTTTATTCAAAATCCCTATGCAAACACTTTACCTATGGGAAAAGCGGTGGTCTTCGTTTTTTGACGACCTGAACTGCAAATTCATTTTAAAATCTTTGACATTTTCACTCTGCAACCCATTTTATTCGATTATTTTTTCAGATAATTTATTCCATTAAAATTTTAAATGTAATCTGAGCATCTGGCTTGGTGCTCCCACTGAAGACATGCAGTTAGGAAACTTTTTTCTCAGCATCCTGTGGTCTGAAAAGTCATTACTGAGCCCCTGAGATTGGCTCCCTAATTTGTCTGCAGCAGCTGGAACAGTTGTCTGGGGCTCGAAGCTGCGCAGGGCACGTTAATATTTAAGGCGTGCACAGCAAGAAACAACCCATGGCAGGGGACAGGCTCACAGAACAAGAGATGAGTTCATTAATTTCTCCTCCTTTTGGCATTGCTACATCAAAACCATGTCAGATGCAGGCGGATTGATCCCATTTTCAAAGATCCTGGACGACAGCCTTTACGGGCCTCCACAGCGCCAGTCCCACCCAGGGTCTGGGCACGTCCACCATTTTTAAGTGTTTACAGCAGCTGATTGCCTTGCTTTCCTTTGGATTCTTCTCTCTGATTTCCCTGGCTGCCCCACCTCTCCCTCCACCTCTTCTGTCTTCCTTCCCCACTCCCATTTGTTCCACAAATAACAGGAGCAGAATTATGGGAAGACACATTATGAAACCAAAACGAAAGAAGTATCCAACCTGCTCACGGGCTAAAGAAAAGAGGAAATATTATCCAGACATTTAGTCAGATAACTATGGATTGTGTCCAGTGGTGCAACAGGATGCAAGACAGAAGGCTGTCACTGTCTTCCTGGGCAGAGAAGACAAGTCGATGCACACACGCAGGATGGCGCAGGCCCACAACGTGGAGAAGACAGGACACCGTGTGGGGATTCAGGAGGCTTCACTGGGAAAGACCATCCGATGAAGACCGGCAGGACCGGGGACCATCCGATGAAGACCGGCAGGACTGGGGAACACGCATGGGTGCAGGGAAGAGCATCCTGAGTGGAGCCGGTGGATGGTTGCTGGCCTGGGGTCCCCGGCTAGTAGGAGGGACCTGGGCGGCCAGGCCACTACAAGTGGTGAGCCACACTGGGAATTTGCTTGAAGGTAGAGGCAGATTGATGTGAACTGTGAGCAAATTCAAGATAACACTGAGGGTTTGGTCCAGACAGCAGAGGATGGAGCTGCCATTAATGAAATGGGTTGTTGTGGCCTGGTGGCATGAGGCCTGCAGGTCTGAACAGGCTGGTCCAGATGTCTGCGGGGTGAACACAGACAGGGGAGAGGGAGGGCCTTGACCCTGCTCCCCCAGTGTCCCTGGAGAGCCTGCTTGCTGCCCATGGAAGTCGTCCAAGGACAAGTCCCCTGGATGGTTCATGTCCAGAGAGAAGAAAAGAGGTCAAGGACGGAGCCCTGCAGAGGTCAGGGGATGAGGGGCAGCCTGGCAATTCTGGGCAGACAGTGCCCGAGAGGAGGAAACCCAGAGATTAGGAAATGTGCAGGGAAAAAGCAGACCGCACGGGAAGGTGGGAGTGGCTGTCAGACCTCCCATGCCCCAGCCCCATGTGGCTACAGCAGCTTCCGTCCCAGATGTGCAAGAATTAATGGCAGGGGGCGCCTGGGTGGCTCAGTCGGTTAAGCAGCTGCCTTCAGCTCAGGTCATGATCCTGGGGTCCTGGGATGGAGCCCCATGTCCAGCTCCCTGCTCAGCGGGGAGCCTGCTTCTCCCTCTCCCTCTGCCTGCCACTCTGCCTACTTGTGCTCTCTCTCTACCTCTCTGTCAAATAAATAAATAAAATCTTAAAAAAAAAGAATTCATGGTGGATGGTGGGGTGCACACAGAAAACTGGGAGCATCACAGTGCTTTACTTTATGTTTATCTTGCACCTAAACTAAAGTGGGAGGGCTGGTAAATCTTTGGGTCCAAGGTCACTTCTTTCTACCTCCTTTGGACCTGTTGGCTCCAGCTGGCTGCTAGACTAAACGTGTTCCTGAGCTCTAGATTAGTAAAAGTACCTGTCACGTCTTTGGAATACCAGTCACCTTTGTAGTAGCTGCCAATATTAGGAGAGGTCCCCACAAATCCAGAAGGGAACACAGACATTGAAGACTGAAGTGGCTTCTAAGTCTGCTTGTCATGTGAATAACTGTTGGAATAATTCTCACTTTCTGTGAGCTCTGTGAATTTTGTCTGCATGTGCCTCCCCCGACACGGGGCAGCAGGATTCCTGTGCAGACGTGTCTGAAGAGTTTCGTTCTCTTCCAGCTGGCCTACGAACCGAAACTGTCATTATAACCAGCCACATATTTCATTATTTTCATTTTTGTTTTCCTTATTTTTTGATCCCAATTGTTCTTTTCAAAAACATTACAAATTTCAAGAGGAATTTTGAAGTATGAATCAATGCACCAGTGTTTATGTTCCCAAAGCCGAAGCTATAATCCTTAGTGTTTTCTCTTTAAGAAGCTGTGTTTACCAGTCTCTTAAACAGTCAGAAAGATGGATTTGACTAGAAAAATAGTTCTCACCTTAACAATTTCAAATTTATACTTCCAGTTTTAAGAAGCAGAATTTTTATTTTCATATACCTTTGATTTTTAAAGTAAACATCTTTGTTTTAAAAAGCAGTGTGCCTTTATGAATAATAATTAATTATTGGGCTAACTTATTAGTGGGTCAAATAAAAGCTTAGAAAAGAAACTATTTATGAAATCACCCTAATCCAATCGGGCTAACAAAGTTAATTCCCCTGAATAGACAGTATCTGTCTATGCATCCATCTTTCTCACACATATGTACAGAAGACGTACACACTATCAATATAGCTGCACTGTGGATAATATGCATCCCAAGTATTACATTGTATACATAGTAACATTACATATATAATATATATGTTACATTGTATATATGTATATATGTATATATATTAAAAATATACATAATACTACATCTCTTTCTTATGTAAGTAACAATCTGGATTCTGTAACCATTCTGGATCACACAGGTGCACCTGTAACCATTCTGGATCACACAGGTGCACCTGTAACCATTCGGTATCACACAGGTGCACTTGCACACATGCAGTTATATCAGTTATATACACGAGATACAGGTTGCCCTCAAGCAAACCTGTTATCAAATCCCTACCTGTAAGGTTCACTTGATAATATGACTCTTTCCTGGGTGGATGACTGTCCTTCCCATCAAACCCCCAGAGCAGGACATGCACAGGTCTGCTACCACACAGCTCATGGCTCCCGCCCATGAGTTCCAGGACCCCGTCTCTGTACAGGAAGACCCAAGGAACAGAGGACCCTGGCCCCTGAGGGTGCAGGCCACAGGCAGTGGGTCACCTCGTCCAGTTCCACCAGTAAGGGTGGGGTGACCAAAGAGTGTCAATATTAGTTCGAGGCCTTCAGCAGAAGATGAGAGGTGCTCTCCTCGAACTTGGTCGTTGTGGAAATGTGTTGCCCAGGGGAAACAGATTCTAATCTACTAGATTAAACCAGTCCCCCAAGCTTCTCTGTGATCTACTTATAAAATTGAAATGAAAGGAAAGATACACTTTTTTTTGTTTCAGGTGTAGAATTTAGTGATTCATTACTTACACACAACACCCAGTGCTCATCACAAGTGCCTCCTTAATGCCCATCCCCCATCTAGTCCACCCCCACCCACCTCCCTCCAGCAACCCTGTTTGTTCTCTATCGTTAAGAGTCTGTTTTGTAGTTTACCTCTCTCTTTTTTATTCCCCTATGTTCATGTTTCATTCCTTAAATTCCACATGAGTGAAATCATGTGGTATTTTTCTTTCTCTGACTGACTTACTTCGCTCAGCATAACACCCTCCAGTTCCATCCATGTCGTTGCAAATGGCAAGATTTCATTTTTTTGAAGGCTGTATTCCATTGTGTATATGAACCATGTCTTCTTTATCCATTCACCTGTCGATGGACATCTGGGCTCTTTCCATAATTTGACCACAGTTGACAGTGCTGCTATAAACATTGGGGTACAGGTGCCCCTTTGAATACTGATTCAAAAGACAACCCTTTAAAACTGTTTTCTCTAATTTGGGATTTTAAGGCCAAACATTCCTGATGACCAGTCAGCCTGTGTTTGGGAGAAGTCCTTCTTTTCTCTTTGGTGCCGTCCCAAGTCAGTTTTCTTTAACAGTTCAACTGGAAGAGCAGTGTGGTCCTGCCATGTGTGGCTGCAGGGACTCCTGTGACCAATAGTCACCCAGCATCTCCATCATAGAGCAGACCAGGGCCTGGCCCTGAGAAGAACTGTACAGAGGAAACCTCACCTCAGCTAATTATGCTCTAAAGAAAAATAAAACATCTCCAGAATGTGTCTCCACAGAAAAGCCAGCAAAATGGGCTGTTGGCTCCATGTGAGTCCCAGGAAAATCTGAGAACTGACTCCTTGATTTGCCCTGCACCCCCAGACAGAAAGCTGCAAAGCAGACCAGCTTGGCAGGAAGTGATGCCAGATTGATACACACGGTACAGAGGCCAGCAGGGACTGCCTCTGTCCTCCAGACACGGGGTGAGAGGTATCTGGGGTGGCTGTCTTCTGACCCCGTGCATGAACTCATTCTCCAGGAAAAGCAATTTAGACGTGAGTGCTGTCAGGTATGTGGCCTCAGAGCCAGGACTCAGGGTCATCACCAGCCCAGGCTGCACACCATGTCCAACCTCAGGTCCAACAGGAGGCAGCCCCAGCCAAGAGGGAGGCTGGGACATGTAAACTCAAAAGAAAAGTGCAAAGAGAAGCCCAACCAGAGGGGCCCCCAAGTCGCACCGAGTCACAGGATCATGTGTCTTTCAAAGTTCGTTTCTGTCCAAGTGCTAAACCTTGGGAAGGTGCTTTTTGTCTCTGAGAGGTTTTAGGCTATTTATTTTTCGTTGACTTTGAGCAACAGGAGATCGCTGTGGCAGAAACCATTGTGGGTAGTGACTTTCTACCCACCTTATCAGGGCTCAGGTGAAAGTGCATGTCAGGAAGACCACCTCCAGGCTTGGTGGAGGGGTCTCCCCCTCGTGGCCCCAGTCGGGGTGGGAGTGCGGGCTCTGGGGAAGGAGCCAGGCCAGGCTGGGGCCCTTCGACCATCTGGGTCCGCGGGGTTACGATGGGCAACTCTTTGGATTTCTGCAGGGTTTTTTTTTTTAATTCAGTTACGCACATGCTTAACATTCCAAATGATGAGCAGGTAAGGTTTGATAATAAAGTGTGGAGGACATTATCAGAGTGACTCGCCTGGATGCAGAGGAGACTTCCCTCGTGGGTGGTGTGGAGATGGACACGGTTTGCAAGACGCTCTTTCCTGCACCGTGAGGGGAGCGTCTTCGCGGACCCCACTCCCATCGAGCTCTCGTTCAGGCGTCCTGTGGGCACGCTCAGGAGACCAGCAGCCAGGACACCAAACACGGCTGCTCTGTGTGACCCTTCCCTCTTGTCTCCTAGGATCCTTCTGGAACTCCGCTTCCTTCCACACAGAAACTTCATACCTTCACTTCCCCACTTTACATGCAGAGCTCAGCGCCGACGTGTCCTTCTTTTTCAAGACGAGAGCTTCATCTGGGGTGTTCTTAGAGAACCTGGGGATCACAGACTTCATCAGCCTGGAGCTACGTTGTAAGTTTCCAGAAAACTCCATGGGGCCCTTATCACTGGTCAAGGAGCCCTGGATGCTCCTCGTCCCTCCACCCATTAGCTCCAGCCTGAGATTCAGTCCAGTCCTGCAGTTCTGTGAACACCCCGTGCAGCAGGAGCCTGATGGTACACCTGACAGCCCTCAGGAAGTACCTGTCCACGCAGGGTTCATTTTGAGAACACTTCGTCTGGGCGTAGACAGGGTTTGAGTTCAGCTAGTTCCTCCACAAAGTGCTCACTGGAACCCCAAACAGCCTGCAACAGACCACCGGTGAACCCACAGCTTGCTCGCATTATGAAATGGGTGAAGGTCTGGACCAAGTTCTACACAAAATCCAGATGTTTTATAGTTTTTCTACACATGTAATTATGGTTTCAGTCCAGTACAAATCAAAGTGAATTAGCACATTCTGAGCCTAGTTTTTAAAAATCATTATTTTCCCAAGTACAATCTACCTTTGCCCTCTAGTCTACCTGGAAAGATACTCTTCCGCCTGTGGTCGGCGGGGGCCCTGCTTCCCTGTGTCCCTGAGGGCCATCTGGGAAACGGCGCCAACCATCCCACGTGTCCTGTTTCCAGCCCCAGTGGAAGTGGCCTTTTCCTTCGATGTGGGGAACGGGCCCTGCGAGGTCACAGTGCAGGCGCCCGCCCCCCTCAATGACGACCGGTGGCACCTGGTCCGGGCTGAAAGGAACGCAAAGGAGGCCTGGCTACAGGTGGACCTGCTCCCGCCCGGGACACATGCAGCCCCTGAGGATGGGCACGTGCGCCTGCAGCTCAACAGCCAGCTATTTGTGGGTAAGTGCTGCCGGCACCCTTTCCAGCCCCGGGGCGCATGCTGTGGGGTGGGTGACCCCCAACGGAGAGCGCAGGTAAGGCAAGGACAGGACCTTAGCTCCGTGCCCGCCGCCGCTTCTGTCAGCCCCATCGGGCACCTTCAGGCTCCCGCTGCCAGGCCGGGCAGCGCATGCTGCATCCTAGCCTCCCAGCACGCAACCGGGAGCTTCTGTCCCCAGTGCGGACACAGGAGCCAGCTCACTGCCCCAGAGGGTCCGGGCACTGACCTGCCCAAGACTGGCTCCCGAGGGACACACAGTGGGCGCTGCTCTGCCCACTTTGTGCCCAGCGGGAGGTGAACATCAGCAGCTTCCACTTCCGAGTGCTGGGCCCCCACCCTGGGGCCCCCCAGAAATAGCAAGAGAGAGACCAGGAGGGGCGGCCACCACCCCACCATCCGACACCCCCTCCCCTTCTGTGGGCATCCCCGACCTCCTTCCCGGCCCCTCCTGCTCCCCGTTTACCACTGCTCCGCTCAAGCCCTGTGTGGGTCTCCCACTGCGCTGGGTTGCTTGGTTTTCAACTTCTGTGGTGTTGTTTATGAATGACTTTATTGTGATTGGGGGATCAATAAGACAGAGGGATTAGCCCTCCTGCGACCACTCTGTGCATTTCAAATAAATAAGGATGTTGTTTACTTATTACAAACTCCAACAAATGAAAAATAATCACCAACTATTAATGAAATATCAACCAGGCCTCTGTTTGAAGTAGATTCCCAGGATCCCTACAAACCTCCTGCGAGTCTTACAGGCTCCTATCCAAAAGAGGAAGCTTACCCTGACATTTGACAAACACAATTTTTACTATTTTCTGTGTAATTATTTTGCTTTTCTACTTTTTTTCAACGTGGGGCTTGAACTCACAACCCTGAGATCAAGACCTGAGCTGAGATCAAGTTGGTCACTTAGACTGAGCCACCCAGGCACCCCTACAATTTTATTTTTGGAGATATATTTATTGAAATTTCTATGCCTAAGGCACTGTACAGGACACCTGAACTGTGGTCACATGGCCAAAACCCGAATAACATTTGAAAAGATGGGGTTTTTTTAATTGAGTAAATATAAATGAGACATAAAATCCCTCAACTATCATGGGATATTTTCACTTCTTATGTTTTGTTTTTGATGATTGAAATTTCTGTGAACCCCACTTTTGTGTCCCAGTTTTTAGACTGGATTAGTCAATCTAAATCCTTGAATTGTTAATCTGAGTTTGAAGGTGAAATCTCAGATAGGATTCTACATCAGTGTCTGCCCTCCTGAAGTTGGCAGTGCAGTTGTGGGGTGATTTTAAAGAATTTAAAACATCAGAAATAGCCTGAATACTTTGAACATTGGAGAGGCATTGTGTTCAGCCCTTTGTGTGTGGTCTGCTCTGGTTTTGCCGCACTGTTTTCTGTCCGTCTTGCTGAGAACTGTTTCAGGGAGGGTAAGCCCACAAAGCCCCCAAAGCCTGCAAACTGCGAACAGACCAGCCCCAACTGTCAGTAGCTGGATGTACTTTTCTAGGAAAACAGAAGCTATTCTCCACGCGAAGCCAGTTCCTTCAACGTGACATCCCCATGTGTGATCCAGCCCTGGGGGCGGGGGGCAGCCTCTGTGGGAGCTCTGGAGATGGCACTGTGCCGTGTCCAGATATTTGTCCCCACCCTCTGATTTGCCTCCCGCTGCATGGGGCAGCTGCCGTATGCACAGGCATTTTGGAGACCTCCATCTGTTTGGAATCCCTTAGTGAAGAGCAGCCTCATGTCCGAGGCTTGATTCTTTAATGCAAATAATTGCAGGTATTGATTACGGGAGATTCATTACATAAACACAAAGCACACATTTTTGAAAAGGTTTTCTCAAAATGCAATTTATTTCTTGATTGTGAAATAAGAGATATATCAGCTTCATTTAAGTAACTCTTTTTTTTTTTTACCTACTTTGATCAGAAAAATAAAAGGTGGGCAGCAATGTAAATAAAATTTCAGGATTTCTGCAACAATCTGGCAGATGGATTTAATCTCTAGTTTGATGTTTTAGTAAACAATATCCTCTGAAAATACTCCAACTTTTGACTTTGTTTGCCTATTTGAAGCTTTATCTATATTTGGTGAAATTTACATTTTTTTAAATTCTCCGTAATGAAAACAAGATCGAAAGTCCACATCATGTCCAGTTTCTCAGAGTCATCTGTTCCTTCAGTTCCGAGTAGCTGTTGAGGAAGCGGGTGACCACGGACCCCCTTTGGTTGATGTCTGGGTGTCATCCACACGGACCCCCCGAGCCCCGGGGGAGAGAGCAAGTGGGCTACTGCACCACTACTCAGGGGCCACCCACAACCTCAGTCTTAACCCTCACTTAGAGAGAACCATTTTCCCATAAAAAGTCTTAACCAAGCTACTAAACAACTTATAAACCAAAATAACGACTTGTTAGGTGACAGTTACAATAGGACCATCAAACAAACCACAGTATCTCCAAGTGTAGATCAACACATTCTTCCCCATTGAAGAATTAATAAAATAAGCCATAAAGTTTGCCTGGAATCAGAGCCGAGGAGTTACAGAACTTATTCGGTTACTCATTGTCATGTGCTAAGTGCTGAGGGCCAGCCTGTGTGCTTGAATCCCGCTTCTAGTTGAGAGCAAGGTGCCCGCGCAGCTGACCGGGACGCAGGTGGCTGTCCGGTCCGGTTCCACCTCAGACCCCCCCAGAGCAGGGGCCCCTGTCACAGGCTCTCGCGGCCCCCACCCGCCCTGGGTGTCACCCTCTGCAGGAAATCAGATGTGTTGTTTTGGACTTTGGGCCTGTCCAGTGAGAGAAAATGGCACTTACATTTGAAGTGTTCCCATGAGGTGAGCTCTGCCCTCTCTGACAGCCCACGTCCCTCTTCCAAGGGACGCCTATGACCTAACATGATGGATCTCTCTCCAGCTCTGTCTCTCTGCTCTATCGTTTTTTAGGATGTATGCCTAAGGGAGTTCTAATTTTGTTCATTTGTAAGTTCTACGGTAACCAATCATTCCCTGTGCTTTGTGTGTCCGCTTACCAATTCTGAGAACAAAGTTACCGGTTTGTACTGAGACCTCCTCTGTGGATGTGACACACACATGGGGTGATTAAGATTATGCTGAGTGTTCAGAATTGCTATTGCTTCATTTTTGCAATAATAGTTTTCATTCAGAGACTGCATGGAAGAAAGGTCTCTAAAAATGTAAGAAAAAATTGAAGAAAACAAAGTTGATGGCTTTCCCATACAACAGTACCATAGCATTTAGCAATTAGGATCCTTTTCACTTGAAAATAGATCTGGCATATACTAAATCATTCAGTAAAATTCAGATCTTATATGAAGTTGTTAAATTAGAATTATATTCTATGAAACGGAGATTCACCCTCTGCCATAAGACAGTTACTTGAGATGCGGTTTCTAACACTTCCATCGAAACAAACAGTGGTCATGTTTGTGTAAAAGCTAATTTTATTTAAATTATAGTCCACATTTTATTATTCCTGGTATCAGGACCCATGGTGTTCTAGCATTACATTTTAGAAGATTAGATCGCTGGCCTCTCTCCAAGGACAGCGTCACGGGCAAAGACACCAGAGTGCTTTCTCCTGTGAAGATGAGCGTTTCCTCAAAAAGGTGACTAAGAAAAATGACCAAAAAGTCATGACTGAAACATCCACTGTGCCTCTGTCTCTCCCTGCTCTCTGGAGAATTTTGGGAAAGAGCCCTGAGCTGAGCAGAGAACTTTGTTGCAAATACAGGACGGGCTCCCATCTGATGGGACCTCGGTGATTGCACTGATGGAGAAAAACACCACGAAGTGCCTCGCGGGGCTCACACACAGGCCGCCTGGGCCGCACCCCCTGACCCACAACAGGGGCTCTGGAGAACCGCCCGCTTGTGAACGCCACAGTAAGGGAATCAGGAGGAATTCCTTTGATTCTGTCTTGGTTTGTTCAACGTGTTTGTGAAATCTGTGCTTGTTATTTCATGCACCATTCTGTGTTTCTTTTTAAGTTGCTGTCCCTGTTCCATTATCCGACACACCCTAGCGCCGTCCTTCCCGCGACGGACTGTGGGACGCCGTCGCAGGGGAGCTGCTGGGGCATTTCTCTGCAGGGCCCCGTGGCCACCAGCACGTGGCTCTCCTGGACGCCAGCTGGATCTGCACCTAACTTCCCTAGACACTGCCAGCCGTTTTGTCAAGCTGGTTTTCCATCTTACTGCCCCAGTGGTAGAGCGTCATTGTCCCCGTCTTGTCACCCGTGTCCCGTCTTGTCACCCGTGTCCCCTCTTGTCACCCGTGTCCC